GGGTGTTACACCCATTGTAGACAGTCATGACTCACAGAGTTATTTTCAGAGGATATACTTGATTTATATTATATTTAAGAGTGAAACATCACATATAAAGCCTTTAAAGATTTATCAGAAATTAAAGGAACTGCGATGACTTCAAAATTACAAACGTCACACATGATTGGAGAGACAGCTTGGCAAAGATGGTTTTTGATTGATATGAGAACTAGGTAGGATTTTTTTTTAACACTTCCCTTCTGCACTGTTTCCATTAATTAGCATGCAAATGAAGTCTTCCCTGGTTCCCCCTCTCCATAAGGACAATGTCTTTTGAACTTATTAATGTGATAGTGACCTCTCTGCCAGAGGATTATTTACATGTCAACACACAAATCAAACTTCAGCTGCAGCTTTGACCGACTTGAGCACGCAGCTATTGTCCGCCCGTAACAAAGACAGGTTAGTTTAACTGGAGAGAGAAGGAGAGACGGACGAGTCTGACCACTGTCCCAAACCGTCTGTAATCCCCAGAGTGGACAGCTTTCAGCCATGTGTGAGTAACCATCCTCACTGCGAGAGGCTGATTAGCATCTATGCTAAAAACGAGAGCTGCTGGGATAAAAAAAAAGAGTAGAAGTCAAACGAACAGACGGAGCAGGGATCATCTCAGCTGCTCTCCTCCTGCTTTAAGTGCTAATTGAGCAGCCCGCTGTCCTGACCCTGACCCCCCCCACCCCGGCCTATTCACGGGGTCCCGTTCTCACGGCCGTGACGCACCGCTGGAAGATATCCTCCGGGTCCCCCCCCCACCCACCCTCAGCCAGGACAATGAGGGTCACCACCTCGCTGCCCACCATCTTGACATCCACCCCCTCAATTGACAATGGCCCCCCCGGTGGAGCAGCTCACAATGGGCGGACGCGCGTGACAGAAGTGGTAACGTGGCTTCTTAAAAAAATGCAACGCCCGGGACGGTCGGCTCTGGCTGCATTAATCGGATGTTTTGACACCCGGAGGTCGAGGTCAGAATCGATCCGGTGTTAAGACGGAGGAGAGATGATGAGGTTTGAACACGACTGATGGGAAGCTGCAGCCAGAGGAGGTTTCGCTTTTTGTTCTGCATGAGAAAATAAAAAAGAATTTGTAGTCTATAATCTAAAAGAGCTGTCCCCCCCGCCCCCTCCTCTCTGTGGTGGACACTGAAGCTTCAGTGTTTAGCCAGCTCTGCTATATTAACCAATAAACAAGCAAACAATAGTTTATAGTCTATTGAGCTGTCCCCCCTTCCCCCCTCCTCTCTAGAGTGATGCTCACTCAGGTCACCATGTGGTGGACTCTGAAGCTTCAGTGTTTATCCAGCTCTGCATGGGTCTGTAAACCTTTCTGTGTTCTAACCTCTCTCCATTTTTCAAAAGCATCTCCAATATTGATCCTAGTTTGAGCACGTTTCTGCTCGTGGAGCTTATTAGAAACATGCAGAGGCTTTTTAGGTCGGGTACAATCACTTCTATCTGAACCACTTCTCTTGACCGCTTCCATCGCTGCAGCACCTGTTGACCTGATAACTGCTCTCATATCTGGAAAACCGAGGGGCGTCCAAAACGGCCGTGTGGGCCCTACCTTCTCTGGTCCAATCAAATCCAGAACATTCAGGACCAGAATCTAAAGTTAGAAAACCTTTAAAAATCTGGTATTGTGACAAACCCTACCCGACTGAATTCAATGTCAGACTAGTTAGACGCTCACTGATGTATTAGAGATAAAACTGAAGATGTAACAAAAGGGCTCCACCATGACACACACATCTGTGACAGCAGAGACAGACGTTGGATCTCCACCATCGGCTGCTGAGCATCTATAAATGATGATAAAAGGACGTCATTACAAAGAGCCTAATGTTTCAGAGAAGCACTATAAACCCTGCTCGGGTTCGGGTGGGGGGGGGATAATGTACGCTCTGGGATGGATTTATATTCTAGTTGAATATGACAAACGACGCTTTAAAGACGACCCGCCCACACTGTTGCACTTTAGCCGAGAGGACGCCATATTTCATTTTGAGCACGTTCTGTCAGATGTTTGCATCAATAACAATCGAGGCTCATCCGTGACCCCGCCGAGCCGTCGGGAGGGGAGGCGGGCGGGGAAATGAGAACGCCAACAATGGCACTTAAAAAACCAGAAGAGAATCTGTTGCACAATCAGCACAAAGTGTGTCTATATGTGTGCGTGCGTGTGTGCGTGTGTGTGTGTGTGTGTGTGTGTGTGTGTGTGTGTGTGTGTGTGTGTGTGTGTGTGTGTGTGTGTGGGTGGGTGGGTGAGGAGGCGGGGCTGCAATTATCATGCAGTGATAAGATGTTGGAAAAAAAATATTCGGAGGTTGGGTTAGTGTGTGTTTGTGTGTGTGTGTGTGTGTGTGTGTGTGTGTGTGTGTGTGTGTGTGTGTGTGTGTGTGTGTGTGTGTGTGTGTGTGTGTGTGTGTGGTGTGTCTGTGTGGTGTGTGTGTGTATGGGTGCAATGACAAGAACTAGAATTTAACATAGGTTCTGTTTTGGAGTGTGCGTGTGTGCGTGTGCGTGTGCGTGTGTGTGTGTGTATCTTGAATTGGGCTCAGGGAATATCAGGAACCTCTCTCTCTCTCTCTGGAATGACAGCTCGGCTAATGACAAACATTTCTCCCCTCTTTATTCCCCACTTCATCAACACCCTCGCCTCATTACTGTGAGTCACACTGGAGCTCCATGCACGCACGCACGCACGCACGCACGCACGCACGCACGCACGCACGCACGCACGCACGCACGCACGCACGCACGCACGCACGCACGCACGCACGCACACACACACACACCTTCACAATGTCTTCACTGCTGGATCACACCCTGAAAGATTATTACAGCAGCGACAGAACAGGCTGAACTGAGTCATTTTGATTTGGATCTTGAAACAGAATCACTGAGGAGCCGTCTTCACTTTCTTCAGGAGAAAAAAAAAAATGGATGTTGGACAAAATCAAAGAACTCCACAAACCACAGGTTTCAGTCCTGGTTGTGAATAGAACGCCCATGTGATGTTGAAATTTGATGTTTCTTCTCAATGTGACCACAAAGAAGAACAACAGAGCGTTTTATCCCTTATCTCTCACATCTACGATCATATCTTTTGATTGTGCTCACTTTGCAATCTAAGGCTAGCTACACATGGGACGATTTTCAAATCCGAACTGATTTTTAAAAAGTGGGAGACGACAGACATGAGGACAATTTTTAACATAATAATCCTCTGAACACACACACTAGACCAGGTCGGTACCCCCTGGGAGGGTCGTGAGACGCTGTTAGGTGGGTCCCAAGATTCCCTCCAAAAACATGTTAAAAAATGGAAAATGGTTTAAAATTGCATATTTCACCCATTCATCTGAAAATATATACAACAAAATTAGTTTCTTACAATAAATTACAGAAATAATATGATGGTGTTTGGAGAGGCGTAGTGTTTGAACCACCCCCAGGGGCAACGGGGGTCCCCAGTCTCTATCAGCGTTATATTGGGGGTCGTCGTGGGCTGAAAAGTTTGGGAACCCCTGCACTAGACGATTCAGCCAGCGAGGCAACACACCTGACGTTTGAAGTAACGACTTCACTGACACGAGATCTCACAGAATCTCATGTGATCAAAGCTGGGGTGTGTCGCCTCATATCAGCGACATACCCCTGATCGTTGTACAATCATCGAGTGTGTACAGCCAGCTTCCCCCGATCAAAATCACCTGAATCACCTGAAACATGTTGGTGTGTTGTGTGCACAACATTCAAGCTCTAGCTGTTTTTTATCTTGAGAAAATGAAATGTGTCTGAAAACGACGTAAGCCCTAAGTGGACACACTGTACGTCTTCTTGGATCGGTTAATTTCTCTAGATCTCGAGTAAACGCCTGACATAAACTTTGTCATCAGCAGTGAAACAAATAAATGCATTGATGCATGTCCTATGTGGGCTTCCGAAGAACCTACAACTCTGAGTTTACTACCACAGCTTTCTGTTCTTTCAGCACCATTTTCAAAATGATTTATTCTGCATAAAAAAGCCACTTTCATAAGAAAAAAAAAACATCTATCCAACTAGAAACACATGTTTTTTAAAACCTGTTGTTTTTAAAATGTTTGCCCTGATTTGATGTCTTCTTAAAACTGTGTATCATGTAGTTTAAATAACAACACACTCTGGTTAGAAAGCTCATGTTGCCGTCTCAACTACAGTCTCAACAAAACTGGATTCTTTAAAATAACTCTCTAATATAATATTTACTGAAGGCCACATTCTGAGACAACTCAACAGACATTTCATACTGGTGAAGGAAAAACTGAAAAATAAAAGGCCCAGTCCCTTTTATTAGCTTAGTGTTGCTGTGTGTTTTAACTGTAGATGGTAGAGTAGTGAGACCATCACAAGGAACTAACTCCGATGAAGCAGCTGGAGAATTTTGGACAAGGACACATTGGACATGTTGCTGCAAGAGCTGGGGATCAAACCCCAAACCTTCTGGTTGAGAGACAACAGACTCTACCAGCTGAGCCACAGCAGAAGTCGTTTTAGAGACTGAAGTACGTCTATATATAAGTAGAAGTTTTACAGTAGTTTACCGTTTTTTTCCTCTGGCAGGATTTTTAGGCAAACATCCAACCCTTCAATGAACTCCCACCACGCAGCCAAACATGTCTGAAGGAGATTTGTGACACAACAAAATATCCTGCAGGCTTCCTGACAAAATGGGTCATTTACAAAATACTAAAATTAAACAAACACAGAGAAGAAGAAAAAAAAAAGAGACATAAAGTGGCAGTGTAGGCACGGCAATAAAAAACGAGGTATTTACTGGGGAGTGGTACGTTTTGAAAAAAAATGTTCATGTGGGGTCTCAGGTGCAGCTCGAGCCGGGGATAATGGCCTGTTTTTTTTTTTTTTTTTCTCTCTGTCAGTATAAAGACAACATTACTCATCCGAGGAGAAACCTACCAGCTACGTTGGCCACATCTGCGGTGCTGACGTTGTGAGAGTTCGGACTCACTTTGAAGGTCACAGCGGGGCCCACCACCCTGTAGGAGACAGAGACACACACACACACACACGGTTAGAAGCTACATCTTGTTGGTTTTTTTCAGCCATATATGCCACTTGGAAAAAAAAAAAAGAAAAAGGAAAAAAAAGCTTTAACCTGTGGCGATCCTTTGGGCGGCTGCAATCCCCATCACCACGCCGAGATAACCTCTTGAATCTCAATGTAATGCGCCCGGCGGCATTTAAGCACGCCGGGAAATGAAGGAGAAAGGGGGAGTGGGGGGGTCATCAACGAGAGGCCGCTCGAGATACGTGACTCTCAGATGAGCAAATGCATTTCTAGCGGCCGGGTTTAAGATGCATTTACATTTTGATTCGACGTTGGGTGATTGCGACGCATATTGTCGTGATGGATGTAAATCGAGGCCGACAGAAAACGGGGGCAGGAGAGGGAGAAAGGGAAGAAGAAAAAGGACATGAAGACATCTGTATTATTTTTTTCCCCTCCTGTTCATCCCCATGAAGCAGCTTGAATCGAACACAGAGAGGGCGAGAGAGAGAGAGAGAGAGAGAGAGAGAGAGAAGCTGGGTGGTCAGGGGCCGAGCGGAGTCTCCCGACGTGATTAACCTTTTGTTTTTCCTGCTCTAATTCAGACTTAAAAAAGGCCCAGCAGGAAAGATCTCTCACCAGGATCCCCCTCCAGGAAGCATTGTGTGCCCGCTACAGGAAGTGACTGCTGCTGTTGCAACACTCTTATAAAATATGGTGACATCATTAATGGAGCAGGTTTCCTCTCCTGAAAGCTGTTCAATATGTTTTTTTTCTAGGGATTCAGAAAGGTGTTGCTTTTTTGTTTCAGGTTGATGGATGTTCAAAAGGTTTCACTTTCACTGAGTGTGTGTTTGTGAATGTGTGGGGTCTGCCTCTTCACGTTTAGCTTTCAGTAAGATAGTTGAGCTCAATACTGAAAATAAAAGCTTTTTGTACGACTTCATGTGAACTTCAACAAGTTCAAACTGGAAAAGAATCTACTGTTTAAGAACCAAAAGTAAAGGGAGGTTTTCTGTACTTTTTGAGTGAATAACGAGAGAACTCCTGAGGCAGGCTTTTCCAAATATGGAGTCCCAACCCAACGTGTGGTCGCATACAATTTGTATTTATTGATGAATGAAAATGTTTAATTCTGACCCCAGGGGGCTCGCAATCAAAACAACGACCAAAGATGACGTCGAGGTTGGCGGGGAATCATGGGAGTGATTCTCTCTGCTATATTAACCAATGAACAAGCAAATAATACGTTTTGGACATAATTTCTTTAAAGGAGCAGTATGTCACTCTGACACCTAGTGGTTAAAATGGGTACTGGAGTCCAAATTCTAAACATTGTAGAGAGCTGTCTCCCCTCCACCTCTCTAGAGTGGATGCTCACTCAGGTCACCATGTGGTGGACTCTGAAGCTTCAGTGTTTATCCAGCTCTGCATGGGTCTGTAAACCTTTCTGTGTTCTAACCTCTCTCCATTTTTCAAAAGCATCTCCAATATTGATCCTAGTTTGAGCACGTTTCTGCTCGTGGAGCTTATTAGAAACATGCAGAGGCTTTTTAGGTCGGGTACAATCACTTCTATCTGAAACAGTCGGTGCCTGGATCCGAGTACACTTGACACCAAAGTCCGCCGGTTTATTTGATCAGTGTCAACACAACAACACAATGTACCAGACGACGTAACAGGATTCATGAGTACTCGAGTACGAGTCCGTGTGAGATGTGAACCCAAACCGTGCTGAAACCAGGAAGTGGACCTCTATATGATGAAATTCTAAACGTCTCCGATGGGCTCAAAAAACCACTAAAGCGCACGGTTCATCTGGAAGAAGGAAGAAGGTCGTTGTTGGCATCTTAGAAATAACAAAAAAAACATCCACAGTTGCCGCAGGTGGTTGCCATGGTTACCGCTTCTTCTTTCTGCTTTTTGGAAGATTTGCAAACCAACTATGTGCATACTGCCATATCTGGAGATTTCTGACAGGCGAAACTCCACACGAGCGTCCGGCACATTTTCTCTGCCTGTTACTTCTCCTCGGAGGGATTGAAATTTGTCAAATCTCCGAGGTGATTCATCAGCCGGTGCAGGCGAGGTGTGCGATGAACAAGAATGTGAATCAGTCATGTCGAGTCGAACACATATCCATCTGTCCTCTGCCACGGAGGGCGACTCCTGCACAAAGACGTCACGTCGACTGTGAAGAAGCTGGTGAACGACATCTTCACTGACTGAGCCGGAGACGCTCACACGAGGTGATTTATAGAAGCATGATCATTGGAAAAATATCTGATATTAAATATACATACAGACAGGAAGTGCTGCTGTGAAGATGAGGAAATGTTTCTACGATTAAATTACAACTGATAGTTTTTATTTTACTGTAGACAAACACGTCATCTCTAAATGGGATGATTTTATTTTACAATTTAACCACTGTAGCATCCTCTTCCATGCAGTCCAGTACGATAAATGAGTGATAGGTGTCGTGTCATGTCCCGCCCCCTTGATTTGGTTATCATCTGCCCTGAAGTCTCATGCAGTAAGGGGCAGAGGTCAGATTCAAACCCATGGCCGCTGCACTGACGACTATAGCCGCCGTACATGGAGCACGGTTCTCAACTTGTGGTCACAAATGTGAGCCTAGAAAAAAAAAGGTGTCAAAATGTCCATGAAGTGGGGCGCTGGTGGCACAGTGGTTAGTACGCGCGCCCCATGTATGGAGGCTAGGGTCCTCCAAGCGGGCGGCCCAGGTTCGAATCCCACCTGTGGCTCCTTTTCCCGCATGTCATTCCCCGCTCTCTCTCTCTCTTTGGTTTCCGACTCTATCCCCTTATCCTATCTCTACAACAAAGGCACAAAAAGCCCAAAAATAAATCTTAAAAATAAAGTCCATGAAGTGATTTTTCAACATGTTTTCTTGTTCTGTCTCATGTTTAGAAACGCCTGACATCTAAATCGGCACCATCATGCTGTGTCTTGATTTTTCATGGAGGAGTTTGTGGTGCATCCTGAGAATTAAGAACCACTTCTCTAAAGAAGAATTTACATTTTTATTTATGTTTTTAAAAGATGTGCCAAGGGATTCTGAAGCCTTTAGCGAGCTACATCCTGGCATTTTCTGTATTTAGTTTTATTTTATTTTATCAAGACTCAGGCTTTTTTTTATCTCTTTATCTCCGGATCACAACACTGGATTTCTGTGACACTAAGTTAATTTCTTAGAAGATCTCATCTCACGACTGAAATAAACTCCTTTTAACAAGAATACAACATTTTGTAATCAGAACCAACAAGAAAAATAAGTCGAGATCTAAAAGAAATTTCCAAATATTACATGACATTATGCAGAAAATGGATTAAAATAAAATGTACAGATGTACAGTATGTCCTCTTGGGGCTTCCGTACCTTCTGTTTTTTTAAGTTATTCAAAGAAATTCAGTCCTTAATTTTTGCTTTTTACATTTTGAAACAAGATATTTGTCTTGACTTGTCAGGTGAATGTGGCTCTCAATATGTTCAATGTTTTTTTCCAGAACTTAGAAAAATACACTATTGTGATTATTATTCTCAAAATGCCAAGATTTGTATTTAATGTAATAAATGAATAAGAAATGACTGATTTGCTTTTCTTTACTGGTCTGATAATTCATGCATGAATTCTTAATTTAATCAAAAGGTAATGTCAGGTTTTATTCACATTTCAAATCATGGACATTTGCTTAATTAATAATTCAAAACTGGGACTAAATAAGTGACAAAGCAGTGATTACACCTCCATCACTTTACATCCATTCAGCCAGTTCAGGCCCTCTCTCTCCTCCTAGTGGCCGCTCTTTGTAATGACCCCCCTCATCTCAGACACAGACATTACATCACCTCGACCCTCCTGCTCAGAAAAATGAAATAAAAAAACCCAACAAATGGAAAAAAACACACATCCAGTCTACACTCAGTGACAGTTACGCAACAGCCCCCGTTATTGGACAGCCAGCTCCAGTCAAAGGCTCTCTGAAGCCTCCCACATCAGCGCTGCCCTCTCCACCGCCCTCGACCACTACAGGCAGCGCTCGGCAGCTAAAAACATTTCCAAGGCCGGTTTCTGTGAAAGCGCTCAGCGTCAGTGTTATCTAATCAGTATCGAATTGTTCCAAATGAAACATAAGGGTGTGAGTCACTCTGCAGGTTGTTTTTTTTGTGTCCTGGCTCGGTGTGTGTAGGCTCGCTTTTTATGATTCATTTGTTGTCGGGGTGGAAGTTTTTTTTGCTTCAGGCTCGCTGAACTGCTGCTGCTGCTCCGGCCCCCGAGAGGAAGCTGCTCAGGACGGGAAGTTTTTCTTGTCTTTTTTTTACGGCAAGCCGAGGTCGCACAGGTCGCCGCTTTGTACCGAGACTTTTTTTTTGTTGTTGTTGTTAATATGCTAATCTGGTGCTGCTGTGTGAGGTGTAAGGTTGAGCTGCCTGCAGTGCTGCAGGAGGATGAAGGGAACTTTGAACAGTGGCTCAGATGCACGATGCATGTACGGAGAGAGGGCCACATTTACACTGCACACTTCAGTTACTGTAAAAAAAATAAAAAGACTAGTTTAAGCAGCAAAAACACAATTATTGGATATTTACCTCTGTTTTTGCTTTGTTCTGTCCACATGACTTTTTATAAGTCCTATATAATTTGGATCATAAAATCTAAAAACTATTCTTCAGAAGATATGCACCTATACATTTTATTTTACCCCGTTATCCCGTGATGAGTACATTTTGTTTCTGACTTATTTATTTTGTCGTCTCAAAAACAGTGTTGATCTTTTTTTTTTAAGATTTAGAGAAAAAAAACAAAATGTACACGTTATCACGGGTTGTAATAACGAGAGGATAAAGAGATAAATAAGCTGAGATCTGGAGGAAAAACAGAGGAAAATAAAATGTTTGGATACATGTCCTGTTAGGGCTTCCGTAGGATACAAATGTTGACATTTTGGATTTTGGGGGGAATT